CTCCGCTCATCGCCCACCTCCTCTAGGCTCTCACTCATTCATCTGAATCATAGCCCTAACAGGGATATCACGAGACTACTCCCTCGATAGACTAATCTAGTATCCGTACCTCTCCGCATTCACTTACTCACGAGGCTTCGGGTTACAGCTGGCTAGAAGCATTAAGTCGACTTCCATGACAAACCCTAGTTAAACTCCACCCGTCGACCTACATGCTGCATATCTCTGTATCTATTTAACCACTCACCCGCACTCACTTTTTACCTTTCGAGTCTTCTTCACCAAACTCTCTCCCTTCAATATTTCTTTTCTTCAAGCACACGTCCCTAGATACCCATCTCCAGTGCTTGAAAGCATCAAGCTATCTTCTGAGATTCCCACCAAGACACCGTATTCTACCATCCTCTAATCGAGTCAAGTAACAATGGCTCCTGATCTCAACTCCCTCCCTCCGTCTAACGGAGAGAGCATGGCTGCTCCTCAGCTCTCTTCAGAGTCTGAGACACCCAACATCCTCTTTATCATGGCCGATCAACTGGCTGCTCCTCAACTCAAGATGTACAATCCCAACTCTCAGATCAAAACACCAAACCTCGACCGTCTTGCTTCGACTGCTGTCCAGTTCGACTCTGCCTACTGCCCCTCACCACTGTGCGCCCCTTCGCGCATGAGTTTGATCAGTGGCCAACTACCTATGAAGATTGGGGCTTACGACAATGCTGCCCAGATTGGCTCTGATGTGCCAACTTATGCCCACTACCTCCGTTCCAAGGGTTACCACACTGCTCTTGCTGGCAAGATGCACTTCATCGGTGACCAACTCCACGGTTACGAACAGCGACTTACTAGTGATATCTATCCTGGTGACTTTGGTTGGGCTGTGAACTGGGATGAGCCTGACACCCGCCTTGAGTGGTACCACAACGCCAGCTCCATTCTCCAAGCCGGTCCCTGTGGCCGAAGCAACCAGCTCGACTACGATGAGGAGGTCATGTTCAAGAGCACCCAGTACCTTTGGGATCACGTTCGGGAGGGACCCAAGAAGCGACCTTTCGCATTGACTGTTTCGCTTACTCACCCACACGACCCTTACACCATCACCAAGAAGTACTGGAACCTGTATGAGGATGTCGACATCGCGCTACCTGAGGTGAAGATGAACAAGGAAGACCTTGATGCCCACAGCCAACGTCTTCTCAAGGTCTGCGATCTTTGGGACCAGGACTTTTCAGAGGAGCAGATCAAGCGCGCCAAACGAGCTTACTACGGCTCAGTGAGCTATGTTGACGACTGCATCGGTCGCCTGCTTGAGACACTCGAGGATGCGGGCCTGGCCGAGAACACCATTGTTATCTTCAGTGGCGACCACGGCGATATGCTGGGTGAACGTGGACTCTGGTACAAGATGAGCTACTTCGAGTCATCTGTTCGAGTTCCCATGTTGATCAACTACCCCAAGCGATTCACTCCCCACCGCGTCACTCAAAACGTTTCAACTCTCGATCTTCTACCAACTATCTGCGACTTGGTCGGCACTAAGCCATCACCCTACTTGCCAATGGATGGAATCAGCATGCTACCTCATCTCGAAGGCCGCGAAGGTCACGACACTGTTATTGCAGAGTACACTGGTGAGGGTACTGTTCGTCCTATGATGATGATCCGACGAGGCGATTGGAAGTACATCACCTGCCCAGCCGACGAGCCTCAACTTTACAACCTTGCACGCGACCCCAAGGAACTGGACAACCTCGCCCGCTTCAGAAAGATTGCACCACAGACAGCCGAGCAGGAGGAAGCCAAGGAAGTCTTCCACAAGTTCGAGGCCGAGGCCCATGCCCGTTGGGACTTTGATGAAATCACCGAGAAGGTTCTTTTATCTCAGCGCACACGACGAGTTGTGTGGGACGCCCTCAAGGAGGGCGAGTTCACTAGCTGGGACTTCAACCCCGATGATGATGGCAGGAAGAAGTAAGCGGATAATCCAAACCCTCCCCACAAGTGATCGATGCCCCGGAAAGCCACGAAATCACATCATCGCATAGTTTAAGACGTGCTAACGCCATACGCCGCAGGTACATCCGCTCCACCATCCCTCTTGATGATCTGGAACGCCGAGCTCGTTATCCATTTGTTGATGCCAATGGATACGAGAGCAAGGCCCTATCCCATGTCCGCAACAGTTAAATTTCACACCCCAAACACTAATGAGCTATGACCGAGATATCGTTTCGATTCGGCGTTTTTCACTTTAGCGGTTATTCTTGATGTTATTGCAGCATTGAAGATGTTGGATTTATGACCTCTATTTTTCGCATCAAGCATAGCCAGCTATGATTTCTTGTATTTAAATTGTTTAAAAGCCATAAATTGACTGAATTACACTCTTATGAGCTTAAGAACCTTTGGTGTACCTTTCGGTCTCCCTGCCTAGCAGCCGTTCTAATTCTGTAGCTTAGAGACTTTCAGTAACGTCGAGCTGATATCAAGCTAGTAGCTGTTTATGACGATTATCAATCAGTATCATTTCGTATTATCAGATTCACATGAGCTGCGAGAAACATCCGGCCAATAACTTGGACACCCAAAGCATTCACAATTCCAGTAATATCACAAATATCATCCTCCGAAACAGCGGAGTGTCGGTTTCCGGGCCCGATGCGGCCGATCGCCCTGTGAGATCGACGTCGTTACGGCGGCATCCACGGAGCTTGTCATGTAAGCGCAGATTGTGTGATTTTGGCGCTGATGTCGCAAGATGGCCCATGACGTTGATGAAATTATCAGAATCTGGGGTGAGTGGAGAGATCTCCGCTTGTTTCAGGGTCTAGGTGTTGTGTTAAAAAAGTTCCGTACGGAGTAGGGTGGTGATATAAGGGGAGGCTTTCGTGCCTGAACTGCCAGGCTTGATATTTGAGCTGAGCTTTCCATGGGGAAGCTCCGCTACACCGAGCTCGGTGTGCACGCGGTGACGGACACGCTTTGTTCTGGAAGCTTTGCAATGCCCCGCGTCAAACCCGAATGTCTTTTACAAAACATCCAAGACTTTAATTACCAAGCATCAGGAGCTTGACAACTTTGGAGTAGCATTGGCTATCCGTATCGCATATTTTTGCAGCATCAGTTACCAGCTGTAAGCCATTCACGACCAGCGAAAACAATCATCTACATTCTACCACATCCGGCGGAGGCATCATGGCCACTCTCAATCTGGATGACGATGAGCTCAAAGCTCTTGAACAAACACTGAGCAAGGTAGCTCAACTGTCTAGCAGCGTGCAGAGCTTCAGGCAGGATCTACTCAAGAGCAATCCTCTGCCACCTCCGTATGCCTCCACACCGCAATGCGTCATCCTCAGACAGCAGCTAATATGTCTTCCTAGAAAGTCAATTCAAGCTTCAGCCAAAATTCTCCAAAAGAACCTTAAGTCGCTTCTAGAGAGCACGAACGAGAATGCAGACCTCTTCAATCGCATGGCCATCCGACCCTCGACGAACTACCCCGGCCGAACTCAAGAAAACGTTCTTCTCCAACTCCTGCGCAAGAAACTCGAACCCGATGTCGAAGAATTCGTCAGCCAAGGTCTCGAAACAGCACGACTCGCTACACCCGAGGGTCTGGAATCTCTAGAACAAACCTGGCGCGAATTGCGTAGCTGGCTCTCGGACCGGGTAATTCATTTCATATCGACCGAGAATAGCGATCCCTATACGGCGGAAGAACGTGCAAATGGAGTCAAAAACGTACGCACCGGTCTACGAAGGCCTATAGATGACGATGAAGAAGAAGAGGACGAGGAGGAAGGTGACGAAGAGGAAGATGATGATGAGCCAGAGAAGCCAGATGTCCCGGAAGTCAAGGTGCGAGGAGCGGAACCAGAGACATTGCTGTGGTTTGCGGCACGGGGGGACTTTGAGGTGCCACGCAACGTTGAGTATGAGCGCAAAGTGGATGTCTACAAGGGACTCCAAGGTATCAACATACCACCCAGTGACCAACAGAAGCAACAACCCCAGGAAGGTTTTGTTCCTTCATGAGCAAGCGATCTGTGGTCGGACTCAGGCGTTGTGGCATTCAGCCATCAGGTTGGCAAACTATTTTAGCTCAATGGCGTTTTGAGGGATTGCGAGTGAGTGCTTTGGTGTTGATATACCCAGTTAGTAGTTAGTGAGATAAGCTGACGGCTGTTTAGGTCTGATGCGTTAAGATAGCAGTATCTATCTAGTCGGCGATCACAGACGGGCTTCCGAATCCTTATGTATCGCTTCGACTATTTATACAGTTTGAAAGCAGTGCATTATACAGTCTATACAGTCTTATTGCGACGCTTCTCCACAATGCTCTGTACGAACATCTCGTCGCTTTGCTTCATGACCAGACTGAGAACGGGACATCTCAGCTTGAGTTGGAGACATTGAAAACCAATTGGTATTCTAAGCTGACCTCATTCCAATCCTCATCCTCAGTTCTATATAGATATTAGCTTCGAGCTAGAGTTTCACCACGCCAAGCCAAGGTTGTCCAGTAAGCTGACCTGAAGTCGGCTGTGGCCGATTCGCGCGTGCATCTGCATCAATCATTCGTCGCCATGCTCAGCCATGTCGTCACCCAAACGTCCTCAGCGTCAAAGCTACCCATTCCCCGCGTTTTTGACAGCACATGGCTTGAGCTCACGAGACTGTGGCATTGAGAAAATTATCGGCACAATTGACAACCTTATCTGCGCGTTGTGCTTTCTGGCACTACCGAATATTGGAGGCATGATGGGCGGGCTACCTACCTACTTATACAGCTGTGAGGAGAAGCTCGACTGAACATTATCTCCTCATCATCATTCTCTGAGCTTCCATCTACATGCAATTCACGCCTCGTGATGATGGATTCTTATCAATTATGTTGCCACGGCGCTGGCATGCCCCCTAATACATATCCCCATATCTCAGAAGCGTCTCAACCACACATGGAAATCTTGCCGATTAATGAAGCCATACCACGCTCGATGTCACGCTTTGCGACCGGGAAAGCTGACAATACACTTACTTTCCTGTCATTACCTCTCGAAATCCGACTTAATATTTACCACTGGCTTCACCTTATGTGTCCAGTTCGCCACGCACAGCTTGCACCATGGTATCCAACCCCAGTGCATTGCCAATACATTCTCCAGACAGTTGATACAGACACTGCAACTAAAGAGGATAAAACGAATCGAGACGAGCAAAAAGATCTGGGGCTTCTGTCGCCATACCGTCCCCTCTCTGGTCTTCCTACGAGCCTCCTTCGCACGAATCGCCAGATTTACAGCGAAGCACGTCTTCTACCATTCACGCAGAATGAGTTTGTCTTTGTAAACTGGTTCGCCTCAGGCCTCTGGGCCGCCCGTGCCTTTACTCGAGCCCTAGCTCCATGGCAGCGAGGTTCTCTCCGCTATGTTCGACTAGAAGTACTTGCACGAGACGTAGTGGTCGGAGGCGCAGGCCGTGAGGAATGGCGCGCCTTGTGCACTGAATGGGCATCAGGAGTCAGAGGACTTCGGATGAAGATGGTTCTCGGAGCGAGTACTTCGGTAGTGACGGGCCCAGCGTTCGGAGGCGGAGTGGGGCGTAGGGCCGAAGCAGCACGGCGATGGGTCGGAGAGGGGCTTGCCCTGATGGAACGACTGGAGAGGGTTGAGATGGAGGTTGTGGCGAGGGAGATGAGCGATGTGGACAAACTTGAGTGGTGTGAGACGCTGCAAACAGAGTTGAGGGAGGCAGGACTGGGAAGGATTGTGGTTGTGTGTACTGAAAAGGTACAGGAGAAGATGGAATGGATCAAGAGTGATGTTGGGTGGAGAAACCCAGAGACTGAAGTCGGAGCTGTCACGACGGCTATGGCAAACAATTTGATAGCGGAGAGGGCTACGAGATCTCGCGCGTAGTCGTTTTCGTGGGAATGATGGATCATGAGTTATGCCTTACGGAGTCCTTGCTGGCCAAGATTGGTTATCTGCATTAGCATTGGTATGGTACTGTGTTACGGAGTTGAAGCATACGAAATTGAGTTAGGGACTGCATAGTATTGGTTTTTGTACTATACTGAGAATGATATACCTTCAAATGCCGTTTCTGCCGTCCCGTGAACTGTTAATACCCATTGTGCCATGTAAATGATATTACAGATACTCCGATGAACAGGAAGACGTCACAAGAAACAACAACTTGGCTTGTCCAATTGGAAATAGCCTAATCCAATGCCAAGCTTAAACATCTGACCGTTGACGACCGTTCCACAAAGCAGAGTGTAACGTCCAGAACAAAGGCTGCTACCACACCGCATGCAACAACAAATCCGAGGCTATTCGAGGGATATCTAGGCTAAATGCGGAGGATATCCACGAACAAGATAAGAAAAAAGTGACGATGAATAACAGTAATAATTGCATATGATAAGCAAATGGCGCTGTAGTAAGCCCGGGACAATAATTAGGACGTCTTTGTCCCATGTGACTTCGCGCGAGTCTCGCCAGACTGTGCCGCATGAGTCACGTACTGTAGTCGCACTGCAAACGCGGAGTCAAACTTTGTTCTACCTCTGAGCGATAACGGGGGGAGACTCTTCGTTCTACTGTGTTAGTAATACTCCGTTTGTGTTTCTTCTTTATAAATGTTGTTTGAATCAAGTTGAATCCCTTCAAGCCTCGTTCTTTTTGTTCAAGTTGGCATCCAATTGGCGATTACTGAACCCCGCCTCCACACGGCGCAGTATCGAAACCTCCACCTAGAGTTTCGTGTGTCGCGAAACGGCGTTTTGAACTGAGAATCGAAACTCTGCTTACGAATCTCGTCACCATTGAAACTCGTCGTCACGCCGTTTAGCTGAATCGTTCTTTCGCTCGCAATCATGGAGGCCAGGTGTCAATGTGGTTCAGTGACCTTCAAGACTCCCCTCCCTCAGCCTCTGGCGCTCTACATCTGCCACTGCGATGCTTGCAGACGACAAACGGGTTCAGCATTTGGCACTTCTGCCATCTTTCCTCGGTTTGAGCTGCCCGACACGGATCTACTGAGCGTCTACAGGTAGGAAACAACTGTTTGGTGTTACGAGCTGAACTAACTAGCTTGGGGTATTATAGTCGTCCTACAGCCTCAGGACATCAGCTTTACTGGTAGGTGTTTTAGAAGCCTCATGTTTGTTTGACTGGGCGCTAAGCGTTACAAACAGTTACTTCTGTCGCAAATGCGGAACTCGTCTCATTCACTCAACGCCGGTACGTAATCGCATCTTGGGCTTACGAGTCATCTCACACTGACCAAAACGTAGTCAAAAAACGTCATCTCTGTGAAAGGAGGATGTCTTGATGGCCTGGACTGGAAGCGAGCGATTCACATCTGGACCAAGACAGCCATGGTTCCTATTCCCGAAGGATCTGAAACGCACTCTGAAGAGTCCGGCTATACGGACTATGGATCAACCCAGGAGGAGCTGGATCAGCCTGGGGATCTCGTCGGAAGCTCGGGCTGTAACATGCCTGTTAGCCAAAGGGCCTCGAGCTCTGCTGGGGTGAATGGTGACGATAACATGAGTGGATGAGCATTATGAGATGAACGATGGCGTTGGTGGGTGTTGATAGGCAGATTGTGGGTTTGGAGTTGAAACATGTCACTTGGTGAGAGCATTGGGATGTGATATCATGGGAATAGGCGCAATAAACGAGTAGCATATCCAGAATATGAATTGATGGGTTGTGTTTTTGAGGATTTTGCTTAGTCTTGAGAGTTGTTCTATGGAAGACAAGAAAACCAAGAATCTCTATCGCGAGTATTAAAAAACGTAGGTTAGTTAGGGACAGACTTTGTCAGCTTTTAGCATATACTTGGTAGATCTCCAGACTGAAAACCTTGGTTATTTTGTCACCCTGATCAAATGTCAGAAGTTGTCTCTGAGACCGTGTTGTGGGAACGGGAAACAGCCGAGCGAATACGGTACGTGGATAATGAATCTGTGTTAGTAGGCTTATTATTGCTTAGGTACTAAGGTATTGATAAGGTCATGATAATTCACTTTGCCGGTTTAGAAGTCCAATGGCACAATCCCTTGTTCAGATTGTAACCGTATATTTGTACCCGTATTTGCAACGGCATTGCCTTTAACCTTTCCCCAATATGACGTGCATCTATCATCCCTGTATATAATCGCTGTAGGTTTGATGAGCACTAACAAAGTCAAAGAGTTTCTTTCAACGGCACTTAACAACCATATCTTACAGTTGGTACGCAAATCTCAAGACTCAGCCTTATTCTGTAAGTAAATTGATCAATTAATCAAAAGCTGTCAATGCGAAACTTGACGTCTATTAGCTTCCGGTAGTGCAATCAAATGAGACCTCTTGAATGGCTCTTGGCACTGCGGCCAATTCACTCAAAGTAGCGAGGTCGGGCCCCCCTCCCGAAACCTCGGATGAACAAGGGGTGCTTCAGTTGCGTCTCGCTATTGATGGAGAATTCTAGGCATTTTCGCCATGTTTTTCGCAATGGTAATTCGCTCTCGAGAATGGCCTCTTTTTTGTGAGGTATAAGACCACAGCGGGAGAGACCGTTCTGTGATGGTTTATTAGTCTTGCATTTCGGCCGCCAAGATGGCCGCTCCGTCGACTCTCTTGTGATTATATTGCAGAAGCGCATTGTCTGTCGAGCGCTTACTAAAACTTCCTTGATATTATCGCAACATATCTCGTCTCGGTAACTATTGCCAAGTCCCGGCAAACGGTGGTGCCTTGGTTAGCCCCCTTTAGTCCCATCTTGACAGGTAGCGCCAAGTCTCTTGATCAAGACTTTGATATTGAGCTGAAATGTCGGGATGTGGCCATCAAACAGAGGCTCTCTACCCAATTTCGATAGAGTTATCAACTAGCAAGCTTCCAGTGCAGATCATGAACCTGGTCTCTCAGTCATCACCAAATAATATGCCTGATTCCCTCAAACTCCTTGTCGTGATAGCGTCTTTTTACCCCTGAACCCTAGCTCATCCCCAAACTCCCAACCCTAGCTCGTCCTAACCCCAAGCGTCACAAGTCCCCGTTTGAGCCTCAGATTCCAGAACCATGATGCACCAAAACGTGCCCCTGCTTCGTCTGCGACGGTGTGTGCGGCGGCGAGGCACGGCTTGACTTGGGTCTGAAGAAACCTGAATCATCCCATTTCTCTTCTCCCCCTCCCCTCCCTCTGCTTCCGACCTTTTTTGAATTCTGAATTCTGAATTGTGTTGTTGTGTTATGTTTATTGTTTTCTATCCGTCGTGACCTTGTCAATCGCTCACTCTTTCATCGATTGACTTTGTAAGTTTTGGTGCTGCCCGGGCTTTGGACTCGGCGGTGCTACTACTACTACCCATCGTCACGGCTTCTCTTCTTGTTCTGCCCCGGGCAATCATTCTTTTACTGTCCCTTTGACTGAACGACTTTTAATACCTACTCGGCATATCATCATCTCCAAGATTTAATCGCTATTGTCGAATTGTTATATCTGTCGCTCTTTACAACTGGACCGTAAAAACTCATAAACAGCTGGACTGTTGGAACATTCACTCACTACAACAAATCGAATTCTGAAAGTTATTGGGGAGCTTGGATCATCATGAAGTTGTTGCTTTGGCTTACCGCCGCCCATGTTGCGCAGGTGAGGATATTCAAACTCGCACCGAAATACTACAGAGTCAAGAAACTGACTTTGACTCAAATAGGCCGCGGGAAGACATGGGATAATGAAAAAGAGACAGGCAGAGGTTGAGGGGGTTGCTCATGCACTCAAGTTCGAAGGGTGAGTTTAAGCCACAAAACACCAAAGTTGAATTTTCAGCATTAACAATTCTCTAGACTGAGGCTGTCTTATATCACCGAGACTGAAACTGCTACTCAAAAAGTTACCGAGACAGAGACGGCGACTGTTGTTCAGACTGTTCAAGGCGAAGCTGAAGCTGCTGCTGGCGAGGTTGTCACCGTTACCATCAACGCACCTCCAGTTACTGTCACCGAAACCAAGACTGAAGTCGTCAACCAAGTCCAAACCCAATATGTCACTCAGGTTCAGGTTATGACTCAATATGTTACCCAGGTCGCACCAGCGCCTCCTGTAAGTAATATGAAAACATTTCGAGAAACCTCTATGCTAATTGAACGATTTCCAGCCTGTCGTTGAAACCGTTACTCAGGCTGTAAGTCCCATAGCTTGTATCCTCCAGCTGTTACTAACCCTTCTAAGCAACTCGTTACAGTAATCATTCCAGGAGAAGCACCAGTAAGTCCTTTGGGTCAAAACTCATATCTAATACTGACTCAACCCAGGCGCCTGTTACTGTGATTCACACCGTCCAAGCCCCCGCAGAGTCTGATGATGCTCTTGGTCGAAAGTTCAACCCTGGTGTCACCACGATCCCCATCCCCGAGAGCCTTTTGCCCAAGACGACACTCGCATCAGATCCCTTTGCTGTGGTTGGACCAATCAGATCGGAAACTATTGTTCCTCAGCAACCTTCCAGCATTGTCAACCCTGTTGTGAATCCAGCCCCCACGGCGGTTGCTCCTCAAGAGCCCAGTTCTGTCGAGCAGCCCGCCACGACTCAGGTTGCTCCCGTAGGACCTAGTTCTATCGAGAAGCCTGCGACGACACAGCCTGTAGTTTCCGAACAACCTACTACTTCCGCTGCGCAACCCGCTACTACGGAGTCCACCGCTCCTCAGCAGCCTGCCAGTTCCATCGAAGAACCCATGGTCGAAGCTTCTTCCACACAAGGAGGACAACAGACATACGCTCCTTCAATGGAACTCGGCAACATGGGCCCCGACACCACAGGAAGACTCGCACAGCCCGCTCTTGACGGAACCAAGCCCACCACCACTGCCAACGCCGAGTCAGCTTCCAGGACACGAGTCCCTATCGATCTGTCCGACCCTTCAAAGCTCAGCAGTGCGCTTAACCTGGGCAACTTGGTTGGAGGAAACGGTGCCCTCAAGGCTCGCGCCACTGGCACGCCATGAGTCTATGGTTGAAATGCGTTGGAGACGATGACGTGAATGGTTAAAAACTTTGAGACGGACTTGGGGGTTTCTTTCGAATGGGCATTCGTGCTCGTAATGTTGTAGCTAGTCTTATAATAATGTGAGCAAGTCTCCAGAGCATACCAGTCAGCTTGTGCATCCATCTATGGGTATCATGATGCCACGCTGTCTACCTATTCGCGTTCTAGAGCGCCAATCTCAAATTTCTTATTCCCTCTCACTTGCTGCATTCCTCGAGGCCAGCTTCATCTTCTTGGCCTGCCGTTTACTGATCTGCTGTGTGTCCTCATCGCCAGTCTTGCGCTTTTGATTCTGATTTTGACCCTTGTTCTTTGATTTCTTGCCATCCACATCTTTTTCTGAGCCCTTTTCTTTCTCGGCCACTTCAACGATGTTGATGACGCCCTTGAATCCATTCCTCTTGATGCCCTCATTTACCACAACAGATCGAGGCACTTCCCCAAACCCTTCAAAGCCCTTCTCGTTGCTTAAGCCTCCCATAAAATTGAGCATGTTTATCACGTCGGCAGGCGCTCGTAGGGATAGCGCATTCTTGGCTTCGCTGCTAATCATGATGCCCCTGCCGCGCGTCGCCCGGATGAGACTTTGCAAGTTTGAGATAAACCTTGGGCGCCCTCGATCATCGCCATTGATCACTTGGCCGTAGCAGACCTCGAAGCGGATACCACGGTTAATAGCAGCCATGCATGGCTTCGGCTTCAGATGGAATTGCAAGTCCTGCGTCAAGTCGAGTGATATGATGGGTACGTCGAGCGTCAGACAAGCATTCTGAAAGGCCTTGTCCGTCAGTGGACGGGCCGCGATGATGTCGTATGTAGAGATGAGCGATGGGATTCGGTAGTTGTTCGCTGAAGGATCTGAGAGAGGTAGAGTCGCACGGTGGAGGATGTTTGGAAGCTTAGAGCCTGGCTTGGGTTCTATCGTTGGGAAGGGCGCGGTGTTGTGTGCGGGAAGCGGCAGCGTGAGCGTGTGGTTCAGCGCGACGGTTGAGTACCCGAGCGTCGATGCGCGAGTGAGTGTCTGGAGAAGCTGTTCATCCTTGGTCGTTGGAGACCAGGCGATATTCAGATCGTAAATCATGATGATGGGTTGAAGAAGTTTTGTTGAAAGCTTTGCGCAGGAAGCTAGCATTTACTGCCGATTATATATTTTTTTTTGCGCCGCAAAAGTTTACAGGTCCTACATTTTTAGTTACGACTCTCACGTTAGAAGTCGCAAAAGGGATAGGTGATATTACGCAGAGTTTATTGAATATATGTATTAATTTAGAGAGTATTATCTTCAATTAGCAGAACATGGACTAAAACCAAAAGAATGGTATCATATCAAGCCCAATCTCCATGCCTCGCCCGCCAGAGCATCCATTTCTAGCTTGAGCAATGAGCTTCTATTAGCCGTAAAAAGCTATGGTCCGTGCACAGTGAGCGTTGTCACTAAGAGCCAGCCCCTGCCGGTTCGTCATCACCATGTTCTTGTGCCTGTAGTTAAATGGAAACTCTCCTATACCGGCACTTCCATTACCATAGTTTGATCAGGTTTCTTTGCTTCTTAGATATTTTCTCATTTAGCGCCGGATACTAGCACTCCTGAAGAATAAGTCTTTATCTCTTACCAACGTCATAAGGCTAATGTATCTTCACTGGACGTGCATGCATGACCTTTGACCTTAACTTTAAAGCTTCCATGCCAAGAAACTGCGCCGCCCAAACTACGACTACGACGACGCGCCACTTGACCTTAAACCCCAGCTCCTGGATCGGCATTGATTGACTTCTCTTTAACACATCACATCACATCGCACGCCTCACTACTTCAACGAACCTTCGCCCGCGGATTTGCACCGCTTCCTCCTCTTCCTGTTGGCGAATCTTCCTAAAAATCAACAATGTTCTTCTTCTTCGTGTGCGGCGAGCACACATTCCGAAAGGAAGTCTCTGAATATCAGGGCATGATATTCCAATGTCACCACTGTGGTAACATGGCAGCACATGTCCAGAAGAGTAACCCATGGTTCACATTCTGTTGGATTGTTAGACCTCTCTTCTCTGGTTCTTCGTTACAGCCAACTAACAATAGTCGCAGCCGATCATTCCTTTGTCCATCTCTGGCTACGTCGATGTCGCATGCCGTATCTGTAACTTCCATCAACCTCTCGTGAACCGACCCGATGTCAAGGCCGTGACAAGTGGTGGAGGAGGAGGAGGACCTCCCCCACAACAATACGCACCTCCTCACGGCGGACCTCAAGGACAGGCACCTATGCGATATGGTTAATAGGAACGAAGTTTTTGAAGAACATGCCACCGAAACAGGCGTGGCAAACTTGTGCGCTGTTAGTGTTCGATGCTGCGACTGCGCCGTCTTGGTTTTTGTTTGTTTAAAGAGGCGTTACAGCCTGGTGTTGAGGCGAATCAGGATACCCCATGAATGGGGCGATGGCTGGGTTTCTTTCGACAAGAGCATTTCGCTTACATTTGATGCTACTGAGAGACTCTTTGACCTTAGTATGTTGTTGAATATAAGGCGCGGGTGAAATTGAGCTTGGGGCATATGATTTGGGCGTGTTTTGAAAGCACATATTCTACTTCCACTCATCTTGGGATACCACCTCTTGGGAACATTTCAAGGCAGCTCTGCCTCTTATTATAACCATTTCTGTCTACTCTAGTCCCAGGAACCATTGGTTGACGCCTTTCTTCTTGAGGGAGCCAAGTGTCGTTAACTGACTACCTAGTAGTATCTGCAACCGTCCATCTTCAAAGCCCGTCCTGGCCTCATGTCTTTCACATACGACCAAAGCTCGGAGAGAATACGGGATCCCGTCCGCTCTCCCATAGTCAAGCTCCGAAGCGCCGGATTAGTAGTTGGGTCGGTGACGACCAGCGAATACCTGGTGTTGTATGTTCTTTTTTTCGCTTTGTCTCTTATTGCGATGCCACTTTTTTGTGAAATTGGTGGAGATCCTAGTTCTCCAAATCGTTATTAGTGTAGACTGCCTGCGGCCAAAGAAGAGACCTTCCCGATTCATCTCCAATTCAAGGACCAATGAGTGTGCGGGATAGAGACGCGATGACATCCAAGACATTTGATCGTGTTTAAAGTCAACAATTCTTCCATTGGATGTCTAGAAGCACGCTACAGACTTACCCATACGCGTTATGGGCATGGGATAATATGATAATTCCCGGTTGCGGGGCAAACATTCACGGTTGGCAGCTACGATCTGCACCCTTGCGGTTTTAGCGGGCCGTTGCCCAGCAACGCCGCCAAACACGGCCTGTCCACTGAAGACCCTCGACCCGATCAGGGACCTGCAATAAACAAAATCCATCATCGTACATGATGCTGCCTACTTAATCTCTTTCTTTTTCCATATCCCTACTAACTATACACCAACAACACAGCGAACCATAGCCACCATGGAATCACCACCCAAGAGAATGACCCGGGCTAGAGCTGCCGCAAAGGCTACTGATCCCTCGGTCAAGACCACAAAGATCGTCACAGCTGCTGCACGGGCAAAGAGTACCGCGACTGCAGGCACTAAAAGCACAGCCGCTAAGAGAAAGACAAGAGCGGACGAGGAAGAGGAGGAGCAACGCGAAGTTGCTGTGGTCAGAAGAACGCGTGGTCGGCCAAAGAAGACTGAGGACCAAGAATCCGAGGTTGAACCTGTGGCACCAGCGAAACCCACAAGAGGCCGTGCAGTCAAGAAGACGGCCACAGAACCTCCCAAGGAGACTGCTGCACCTGTTAAAGCTACTCGGGGACGGCCTCGGAAAGCTGTTGCTGCTGAAGCAGAGGAGTCTGCTCCGGCGCCAGCCCCTGTACCTGCAAAGAAGACAGCCACTCGCACTCGCACGACTACCACAACAACAACAACTACAAAATCAACAGCTGCTGCCAAACCTGCTGCCAGAAAGGCTGTCAAGTTCCAAGAGCCCGACAAGGAGAACATTGAGCCTGCCACCGAGGCCAAGGAGCCTGCTCGGACAGGAATTAGAGGCCGACCAGCCAAACGTGGGGGAGCAGCTGGAAGTCGAACGACCAGAGCGGCGGTAAGATTCGCCGAGTCGACAGACAACAAGCCTTTAAGTCCTAAGAAGATTACCCAGATACCTGTTTCGAGGGACGATGATTCCGAGGACGAACTCGCCGGTGACATGCCGCCTGTCAAACCGATGAAGAAGAACCCAATCAAGCCTCCTACAAGTGCTGCTAAAGCCCAGCCTGAGCCGACCGAGAAACCTACCGAATCAACAAATGCGTCAGATACCATCACAAATCCGCCAGATCTTGGCGGAATTAACCTATCTCCTGCCAAGAGGCGTCCAGCTTCGCCTCTCAAGGATACAATGAGATCACCAGCTCGCCGAATTGGCCCTGTTACTCTGCCTGGATCTACAATGAAGAAGACCCAGGACGACACAGCCCAAGCTGCAGAGTGTACTTCGTTCAAGAATTCTTTGCTCATGTCCGCGGCTAAGAGACCCCAATCGCCCATCAAGGGATTGAACTTTGCAACATCGCTCAAGCCTCAACAGACCCAATCAGCAATGAAGGCGTCACTTCTTCTTTCACCTCCGAAGCGGGCCATGCCTGGACTGAAGCCGGTCACAGAGCCGCGACCTAGAGATGTTGCGGACCTGGGTGAACCACCAGTCATGAAGCCTCTGGTGATGGATACGCCTAGTCGTGCCCCTTCTACCCGATCTTCAGATAAGCTCATGTCGGAGGAGCAAGCCGAGGTTGAGTTTGATACTGTTGACGACGATGTCTTCAATGACCCAATTGAGAACCTACAATTTCCTGGCCGCTTGTCTGCTGTACTTCCTCGTCATGCTGATCCTGCCTTGAAGAAAGAGATGGGGATTGTCGATGAGACTGAGGAAGAGCCTGCTCCGGCTGAAGCTGTTATCGAGACCCTTGAAGAGCCTCAGGTGGAAGCCGAGACTGTCGCCGAGGTTGAAGAAGATATTGCGACTGAGGCTGCAGCAGTCCTAGAAGTAGCCGAAGAAGTGAACGATCTTACCGACCAGGAGGACAGCATGGTCGGTGACGAGGAGAATGCTGAGGCTGATGACGCACTGGGGGAGTCTGAGTCCAAGAATTCAACTCCCGCTCAGTCTCCTCAGCAAGAACAGAATCCCATGTTCCAGCTCAGGGAGAAGGACTTAGAGCCCTCTCAAGACTCGGATTCTGAGGATGAGATTATGGCTCCCAGGGGTGTAGCACCTACTACCCCAACACAATTTGTTCGCAAGACACCTAAGACTTCTCGTGCTTCTATGGGTGGATTTAGCGCACTGGCTGATCGACTTGGCTCTTGGAAGGCCAGCACACCTATCAAGATGGCTCCTCTCGGCGGGGAGAAGCTCTCTAACAAGTCAGCCACTCCTCGATCTGACGCCTCACCCGCCTCGACTCATTTCTTCGAAGACGAAATGACTGTGCGTGCAGGTATGGAGGAACTTCAGGCAGACAGAACTGCCGAAATTGTTGAGCCCACCTTTGATGACATGGAGGTCACTGAGGAGGATGTTGAGTTGGCCAACGAGGCCAATGAGATGTCTCTGATGGAGCCTGAGGTTCTTGAAGAGGTTGTCAATACTGAGGCTTTTGACGATACTCTCTCCGAGGCTAGCCAAGAGTACGGTGATGAAAACGAGGCTCCTGTTGCTATGGCACCCATCACACCTGTTCGTCCAGTCATGAAGACTTTCAACACCACCACAAAGGTTCCTTTGAAGCCTGCGGACGACTCGTCTCCTTCTCCTTTGAAGAAGCGCAGCTTCAGCGCGTCGCGAGTTGCTCCCAAACGTCCCTCAGGCCCAACCAGGAGTGCGTCTGTCATCTCTTACTCCCCCACCAAGGGTAGAAAGAGCATGCCAGCAACCATCGCGGAGGTGCCGTCTGCCCCTTCAACACCCGCCCCTGTCACGCCCTCAAAGTCTGAGCTCTGGTCATCCTTGGGTACGCCCGCCAGAACTCCCCGACGTGATGTCGACCCTGCTCTACTTCGTGGAGCTGTCGTCTTTGTCGATGTGTACACCAGCGAGGGAGCTGATGCCAGCAGCATCTTCGTGGAGCTTCTTACACAAATGGGTGCCAAGTGTATGAAGTCCTGGAGCTGGAACCCCAACGGTTCTGGCAACGATGTGACATCCACTAAGGTTGGAATCACACACGTTGTCTTCAAGGACGGCAGCAAGCGCACACTGGAGAAGGTCCGTGAGAGCAACGGAATCGTCCAGTGTGTCGGAGTCAGTTGGGTGCTTGAGTAAGTCGATGTCTTCTTAATTCTTTGATTCAGTGCTGACCAGAAATAGTTGTGAGCGTGAGAACGACTGGGTTGAGGAAAGTCCCTACAAGATCGACACGAGCAACGTCCCTCGGGGTGGAGCTCGCCGGCGCAAGAGTATGGAGCCCAAAGCTTTGGCCAACATGAACGGCACCCTCGTCAGCAGCCCTACCAAGGGAGGTTCTCGCACAGCTCCATCTACACCGATCAACCGTCGCCAAAGCACACAATGGATGTACACCCCTTCGGATCAGGGAGACGAGGACGAGGAGATGGAGGATTTTGAGTATTCTGAAGCCATCTTGACCCCCGTTCCCAAGACTCCTGCCCCCGAGGCCATTGCTCGCTATGCTGCCAACCTTGTCCCTGATACTCTATCTGATGATGGCGACGACGACGACGACATGGGTGACTCCCCTACTAAGGATGCTCTCCTTATGCGAACATGTCCCCCCAAGGCCAACCCTTTCCGTGAGTTGGGTGCTGGGATTATCAGCGAGACCAAGGATGACAACGTCCTGATGCGCCTCATGGCCGCTCGACGCAAGAGTCTTCAGTTTGCTCCCAAGATTGGTAGCCCTCTGGCTAGAACTTGGCAATAGAGTGAATATGTTGTTGGTACAGTGGTGGGAGGTAGAGTAATTGTGCATGGAAAGGTTTAGGTCTGGAGTTTATGGGTCATATTAGAATTGCGAACACACGTCATGGCATACAATCACTCATTTTGACGGGATGGAATGGAATACCACGGGATGGACAGGACCTTGACTCGGCGTTTGGAGGACTGGCTGATTAAAGTACACATATTTGGTGTTTGACATACTGATAATTCCATCATGGCGATTGACAATATATTTCGGGCTCCGTTGAAGGTGACTGTTGGAATTGTGAGACACTTTGTAGGTCTGGATTGTGTGTGGTACATCATACCTCGTCACCTCTTTTCAATTCCCTTCCCGAGCTGATTATCCAAACTTTGAAGCCATCTTGTGTTCCCTCATGCCTTGATAAACGACCTCATGGCCTTAACAGCATCACCCTCATTACTCTTGAGCAACTCGGTCGCCTTTGCCTTTGGCAGCTCAAGCTCATCGACGAGGAGTGCGACATCAGCAGCGTCGACCTTGACGTTCTTATGGGAAGCGGCAGCAGCAGAAGCCTTGTTTGCGCCGCCGAGGCTCTTTATGGCTTTGGTGGCAGCGTCGGCGTCGACGTTTTGTGGTGTCGAGGGTGAGTCTGCGGCGTCGAGGTTCTCGAGAGCGGAGGCTGCTTTGCGGTCCTCGGCGGACTTGGCGGTCTGAGAGGGTGTTTCGTCGGTCATGGTTGTTGTGATGTGTAGAAGTGAAGTGGAGGTGAGGGTGTAGAGTAGGTGAAGTTCAGTGGTCGGTAGTGGAGAGAGAGAGAGCTACGAAGGTGAAGCTGTGGTGGGGTTGGAGGGGCAGTTTAGTTCTACAGTACCTAGCTTGGCCGTGGGGACCTCTGAAGCTTGTTAGAGTGCGGAATAGAATGAAAGCCATTGGCATTCATTATTTTAATACGACAAAAGATAGAACTATTAACTTAGAATCTTGGATATTTTACATCTCATCATCGTTGGAAGTAAGGTAGTTTGCATAACAGATTTCACAGCCCATCCTGCTTCTTCAACTGCAAGGAACTAGCAGTTCAGGTCAACAAGCATAGCCGTGTTCTCACATTTGTGGTACACGCTCTTCTACATCCAATACAATACAGTATCAAATCATCACATATAGCCCGTAAATCTCCAACAAACAATATAAATGCTTGTGTTGGTGTTCATATTGTCTACGCCACATGCGCCACTTTTAAGCCGAAAGTTGAAGTGAGTGGCTACCATCGGCAACGCCACTTTTCTTTGTTAACTCAATTAAACTTCACTTTTTTCGGTTCCCGGTGCAGGTGCAGGCGCAGGTGCAGTCCAGGGTGCGTCTTGACCATCTGTCTTGTCTTTGCTCTGTGACTCACTCACTCTCTTCTCGATACAATAAACCTCGACTCCTCCACAGATATTCATCAGACCTCATCTAAACACTACAACATACTAATCAAGTCGGGCACTTGATTCTTTTCTTTTGTGCGGTTGACTCCGCCCAATTTTGAACCTCTCGTCTCTTACACACACAAAATGGCTTCATCTTCATCTGCTGGCTGGGAACCCTCCTCCTGGCGCTCAAAGCCCATCAAGCAGTCGCCCAATTACCCTGATGCAGAGCCTCTGGCTAAAGCCGTCGAGGAGCTGACCCAACTTCCTCCTCTGGTCCACCCTAATGAGATCATCGCCCTTAAAGCTCATCTTCGCGATGTCGCACAAGGAAATGCTTTCCTTCTCCAAGGTGGTGATTGCGCAGAGCTCTTTGACTACTGTCGTCAAGGCCCTATTGAGAGCAAGATCAAATTGCTACTGCAAATGAGTGTTGTTCTCATTTGGGGAACCAACAAGAGAGTTGTGCGAATTGGTCGAATGGCGGGTCAGTATGCGAAGCCGAGATCTAGTCCTACTGAGATGGTCGACGGAAAGGAAGTCCCTAGTTTCAAGGGCGATATCATCAATGGCTTCCGTCTCGAAGATCGAGAGATCGATCCCAATCGCCTTGTGAAGGCCTACCACCACTCTGCTGCAACCCTCAACTACATCCGTGCTGCTCTCGCCTCTGGCATCGCTGATCTTCATCGACCTCTTGACTGGGGTCTCGGACATGTGAGAGACCCAGAGCTCAAGGAGAAGTACTCAGCTATTGCTTCAAGTATTCAGCAGACCCTTCGCTTCCTGCAGGTCATTAATGCTCGTCCCGGAGAGCTCGACTCCGTTGAGCTTTTCACTAGCCATGAAGGTCTTCTTCTCGACTACGAGCAGTCTTTGACTCGTTTGCTTGAGAAGCCTACTGCCAGAACCTCAAGCCCTACTCCCGTAGCTGATGACGGCGAGAAGAAGGAGTACTATGATACCTCTGCGCATTTCATCTGGATTGGTGACCGTACTCGCCAAATTGATCATGCCCACGTTGAGTTCTTCCGTGGAATTGCTAATCCGATTGGTATTAAAGTCGGTCCTACAACGCCAGCTTCAGACCTTCTTTCTCTCCTACGCACGTTGAACCCCTCTCGCGAGCCTGGAAAGATCACCCTCATCACTCGCTACGGTGCTGCTAAGGTGCGCGATCTCCTCCCCACGCATATTCGCGCGGTTGAGGACTCCGAGTACCGTCGCACGGTTGTCTGGCAATGCGACCCTATGCACGGCAACACACTATCTACACCCACAGGCATCAAGACACGCCGTTTCGGCGATATCTACCGTGAGCTTGAGGAGACACTACGGATTCACAAAGAGGAGGGTAGCAACCTCGGTGGTATGCACCTCGAGCTCACTGGCGATGCTGTTACAGAGTGTTTGGGTGGCAGTGAGGGATTGGATGAGGACGATTTGTCGACAAACTACACTAGTTTCTGTGACCCAAGACTCAACGAGAAGCAGGCCCTTGAGTTGGCTTTCCTGGTTGCGGATCATTTCTCTAGAGAGAGCAAGGCACGATCAGCCTGAGCATATGAGTGACACTAAAATTTGACACGAAGAAAATGTACATTGGAACAAAACGGAGCAGCAAATATCATGGTAGCAACTTAGGAATGAACCGAAAAATGAGACTTTGAAACACTTGGATGGGCATGAGAAATATTGAGTGATAAACACAGCACTGACGGCAGTGATCTTGTGTTCTGGTACCTTCTTTCATCTCTAATCTAAGCATACGGGCTTGTCCTTCAAAACACAAGTTAATTCATATCATGTCCATCTCAAATTATTGTGCTGCCGTTACGTGAAAACTGTCATATCTTGAATCTCCTCAAACCCTGACTCTTGCCAAGTCAGACAAGAGTGATAGTCTGCGCCGCCTCGAAAGCATCGCCCTTCTCCAGCTTCTGCCATCCCTTGACAGAGCCAGGCTCAACACAGAGCATGTTCTTCCAACCGTCCTTGGGAGTAAAGTCCTTGATGCCGGCTGACTTGTCGACCCAGGGGTTCCAGACGACGACCTGGTCGAGGTTGTCACGGACGATACGGAAACGGGGAGTGCCAGACTCGGAGATGACGACTGGGTGAGAGGGACCCTTGGCGGGGGTGTAGACGGAGTCGGTTTCGGCGGAGAAAGTGACGGCGCCGGATTGGGTCGCCTCTGAGCTGGAGACCTTGGAGAAGTAGACGGAGTCCTCGAGACCGGTGACCTCTGTGGAAGAGATGTCCTGAGACAAGTTAGCTATGATATCCCATATACGAACATATACAACATACGCTGATCTTGAAGTAAGTGTGAAGAAGAGTCTGGAAGTCGAAAGCAGTGTCACCATCGTTGGTAACAACAATAGTAGTGTTGAGACTCTCAGGGTCAAGCGAGACACTGTAGATAAGAGCAAACTTGTAGGGCCAGAGAGCCTTGAAGTCGTCGCTGATGCTCTCGGACGAAAGACCAAAGTCGAGCTTCACGCTGGAGCTAGAGCCCTCGCTGGTAGATTTTCCAAGGAACTCCCATCGCGAGTTACGAGCAAAGCCGTGCTGGGGAAGCTTGGCTACGGGTTCGTGGTCGGGGGCAGTGCCAAAGACCTGCAAGTACACAGATTAGATAAGCTATCATGAGGAGTGTTGTGGTGTTGTCGTACCGGGAAGACGATGGGAATACCTCCTCGAACAGCAGCACTTCCGTCAAGGGCAGCAGACTCGCTGACCCAGAGCTTCTCAGCCCCTGAAGCATCTTTCCAGCTAATGACAGTAGCGCCATGGAGAAGAACCTCTACGCTCTCGCCAGTGGGAAGAACGGCCTTGACGCGGGAGTTATCATGGGTGATGTCGACGGTGGGTTGAGGAGGAGCGGCGGGGGTAGAGGCGAGCGCCGAGGGCTTGTTTGGACGGTCGACCATTGTGAATGTTTTTGGTAGGATCAAGGGAGGTAAAAAAGAGGTTGAACTTTGGAGGAGATGGAGCTGGTAGAAGTGAGGTACTAGGTAAAGAGGTAGAGGTAGGTTAGTAGGTAGGTAAGGTAGTGGCGGACTGCTCAGGTGGGGTTGAAGGGTCCGAGTGGGGGTGAAGGTAGAAAGAACAAGTCGAGAGGACAAATAAAGTGACAGAAATCTAGAGCAGTAAAACACGAGGCTGAAGGGCCTTATAAAGGAAGTTCTCAGTCTCTTATTCCCTGTAGCTTTGGGCTTAGGTTGGTTCGCTGAGGCAAAGTTGTATCTGTAAGATGCGATCCCATGCCGTGGGTGCTTCAAGTCTGAGAGGAGGTCGATACATGTAGGCAATGGCGGGGTAGCTCAAGACAGCCAATGAGAACCCAGGATCAAGCTGTTTAGTGGAGACCTGCTGCTAAAGTTAGAGCTGTTACCGGCCACACTCAAAGCTGAAACACGTCTCAGATATCGGCTTGTGATACATCAAACCACAAAAATACATCACCAAAGAGCCAGAATCTAGCATTTGGTTGGTGAGGAAGCAGTTCTGACTTTTGAATTTAGGCATAATTAGGCTGCTCATAGTTGCCTATACGAAAAAAAAACTCACGCAAATCTCATTGCCTCGTCGTGAGCGTCATGTACTATAACAGTTTCGGAAATACAGTTTCACAATGCAACGGACAGACCGTTGAAGCAGTCAAAGTTACACAAATTTGGTACATCTGCCAAGCCTCTTACTTCGTCGGGTATCTATACGCTGCTATATGTTTCATCATGGCACTTGACCAACTAAATTTCTCTTTCTCTCAACCACTTTAGGGGTATATATCATGCCTCGGTATAGTTTCCAAAGTCACCACTCATAGCATCCGCCATTCGTTTGATTGATATCACCTCTTAATTCTCTCGGCGCTGGTTCTCTTCGTCATGTGAAGTAAACATGGCAGCGTTGTTACCTTCACCGCTCTGCCCACTTGAGCTTCCACTTCGATGCTCAACATGTCCCTTCTCTTCAACCTCCTCAATGGCAATGAGAAGGTTGCCATTGTTGTCATATCGTCGAGGTTCGATCTTGGCCTGCTTGACGACATCGAGTGCGCCTTGGAAACCATGCCCCACCTTCTGGAAGATAGTATCCATTTCTTCCAGAGATCGGTATGCAGTTTCAGGGAAGAAGAAGTAGACCGAAGGAACCATGATGGCGTTGATGACTGCAAAAATGACATATGTGTTGGATCCAATGTTCTCAAATGCAGGAGGAGTGATCATGACCACCAGCCAGTTGAAGATCCAGTTACTTGATGTTGACAGAGCGTTGGCAGGCGCACGGATGCGAAGAGGCGTAATCTCAGCAGGGTACAGCCAAGTCATGCCAAGCCAGCCAACGGCGAAGAATGAGTTGAAGACAAATAAGAAGACAATTCCGACAATCTGGCAAGCCTTCGCATCGCTGGAGCCAACTCCAGCAAGGATGGCCATGGATGCACACTGGCCTGCTGCGCCGAAGAGCATCAGCTTTCGACGTCCAACCCTCTCGACCAGCCAGATTGCAGGGAGTGAGGCCAGGAAATATTCGGTACCGTTCAGAGCGGCCATGAGCAGAGGCATATGGCCAGTCATACCAAGTCCAGCATAGATGGTAGCAGCATAGTAAGTAATCAAATTGATACCAGAGATCTACCCCGATGTCAGTCACTATTCAATTCATAAGAGTGCATATATATGTCTTACCTGTTGGAACATTTGATTGATATAAGCGATGAGAGTACGGTGAAGGTTCTTGTTGTGGTTTCGAGAGAACAAGTCTGAGAATGATCCCTTACTCATCTCTGCAGCTGTCTCCTTGATGGCCTTGAACTCGTTGTCCACATACTTGCTCTGAACATCCTGGTTGGCAATGGCAGCAATAACTTCCTTTGCATCTTCATCACGTCCCTTGAGCACAAGCCAGCGGGGAGATTCTGGAAGGTTCATAACAAAGGCCATGATGATTAGACAGAAGACAATCTGGAACGCCATTGGGAAGCGCCAGCAGGCAGATGTGTCTTGCGCAAAGTACATGCCGTAGTCAACCCAGTACGAGATGGTAATGCCGAGTGTGATGAGCGCTCCCTCGATCATTACCAATTTACCACGTTTATGGGCGGAGCAGGTTTCTGATTGCCACATAGGAACGGTAGATGTGTTGCCGCCGTTACCAAGACCAGTGATGATTCTTCCGATGATGAAGTGTTCCAGAGTGAACGCAGAAGCCTGAAGAGCAGCACCAACAACCATGATTGTGGTACCGAGCATAATCATTTTCCGGCGGCCGAGCTTGTTTCCAAGAAAGATGGTAGCAATGGCACCAAAGAAGCAGCCCAGGTTGTAAGACGAAACAGCGATGCCTTGATAGTTAGAGCGGTCCTTTCGAACAGCGGCGGATACTGTGGGATCATCGCTGTGCATGTCTGGGAATTGCTCCATGAAAGGAGCCATTGTCAAGATACCACCCATGACACCTTGGTCTATATCAAATGTTAGTATCTGCTACCATGGCCTGTCTTGGAGCCGTTTGTGTGAAAGTGGTAGGTATTACCATAGCCAAAGAGCAGGAAATCGGTTCCCGCAATAGTACTGATAGCATAGTTGAGGGCCTGGCCTCGGAGGCCAAAGTACTTCTTGAACATGATGAAGAGTTCGAAATCGAATAATGTCTCTTCAAACTCAAGGTCACTGGGACGGCAACGAAGGTTGGTATAGAGAACGTGAGAACGATTGAGGCCGGGGGATAACCGGGCTTATAAAGAAACGCAAGCTCAAGGGTCTTGCATGTCGTACTGCAGAAAACAGAGTCATGTAAAGTATTACTCGACACTGGATCCACGGCCTCTGGGTATCCACCCCCAGGCCATGCGAGAAGCTGGTAACTGAGACGGACCTTGGCTACCCATACGTTATTGTCTTGGCCTTGGCCGTTTATGACGGGTCCATCAGCCAAGAGTGATAGTGACTATGACCATACTGTGTATGCAGTAAAGTATACCGAGATCTGCAGTCGTGTGCACCCAAGCCCAGCAGGGCAATGATCCCTGCATTACGGCATTGTAAAGTTTTCAGGGTGTTTTGCGAACGAGTAAGTGACAGTTCAGCCCTGGAGGTACCTGTCTGGGTCTCTCCGGGTATGGTTTATTGCTTCGTCCCTTGACTGGCTGCTGTCTAGAGAGACAATATCAATCATATCCTCCTCTATAATGTCACCTGGGAAGCATAAACTCGTGGAGAAGGCCCTAAAGTTTACCTCTCGCCTCCGCAGGAATCGGACGAGTTGGGGAAGTAAACATGGGGAACTTTTGGGAGGCTGGAGCGTGGGGAATACGACGTCATCGAAGGTCCCTCAACACGGTCTTCGGGGATATGAAAATCGGGGCACTCAAGGCGTCAGTGTTTGAAGGCCTCTGATGGTCTCGCTATTGTCGCAATTTCTGATGTATCAGCCATAGATTATTTTTCAAAGTTCCCTGGGGCATGAGCCTGTTTGCAATGTTTCCTCCAAACCGACATTCAAACGTTGGCCTGAGCCTGATAGTTGGTTTGTGATGGATCTTTGAATCGTGATTGGGCCCTCAAGAAATCTCGACCAACATTAAATGAAAGTGGGTAAGTGAAGCACCCAAGCAAGGCCCTTCAACAAGTTAGAGAATTTCGCAGATTTTCTCGTCACCTCGGATGAAGTTTGAAATTCTGGGTCCCTAAATGGAGAATCGAGATAAAATCTGAAGACGGGAGGTTGCGGTTTCTACACGTGATGTTGGATTGCGAGCAAGGAAGGAACCATAAAAAGAGCATTCTTCCATCTTGCCAATGTCTTGGTATATGCTAGTATCGCCCAGTAGGTAATGAGGCTCTGCTTTATTTAGCTTTCCCATAGTTTACCTTGTGATCCTCATTCTACAAAAACAACATTAACTGAAAAGAATCACTATATGGAGTTTACACAACGACCATCTCTGTTGGTCAACGAGAATGCGACTACACAGTGCAAAACAGTACAATTTCAAGAATTGGCCGTCAATAACGGAACCGAGGGTCAGAAACGTGCCATTTACCGCACTTCAGTTCCCGTCACGTAACGTACACGCCAAGATTCAACCTGCAGTCCACTGACTCCATCATGAACCCGCTGTAGATATTAACTGCCCAATCAGTTCTGATAGACAAATGCAAAGAAAAGGCCTCGCTGACCGTCTCTGCCCGATCCTCCGCTTTCAATTCCCCTTTATGGATGACAACAGCTATAGAACGCGGAATTGCTAAACCCCAGAACCCCGGATTGTTAGAAGTTGACGTCACTCTCTACTCGGCGGGCCGAACAAAGTCAAAGTAATCGTGATGGCTGCTTAGATGAGATGAGATACATTCTCTCTATCTAAACAAGTGTCTGTAGTTCTCGGGTTGCCTACAATGGTTAAGAACATTCAGCCTCAGCAGGGGCATCGCCATGAAATTCCCAAACTGGTCAGGTTCAAACAGACGCTTCACCATTGATCGGTGCAACTGCCGGATGCCAGACCCTATCCATACACCAGTCAATGAGGGTTCTCCGGAAGGAAACCGATTCATCATTGCCTCCAAACTGAAATGGACCAAGTTCTCGGTTTCTTTCTTACAGTGCAATATAATTCTATGATATGTTGTTCCATGTTGTTGATTGGTTGCTTTGTCGGACATTTTTGTGAGCCACTTGACTCTTTTGAGCAACCTTCTTCAACCTTCATCCAAGTTGAATTCAAGACAACGAGGGAAACAGAAGTCCAAGCACGCGAGTTAGCGTAGAGTATTATCTTACCGTTAGAGGCCCAATCCTATGCCACGGTCTTTATAAGAGTACATATTGAACTGCCTTGTGATAGTGTTGTAAAGGCATCACCACTTACACCAATTGACGCCAATCCACTTTGAGTAACTGCTTAAATCTTCTTTTTCAACCTCATGGCATCTACGATTTCTCAAACTTTTCTCTACCTTTGAGGTCCCTGTATTCCATGCCACGATCTTCTCGGGCAAGGAACTTTGACCAAAGCACTCAGTGGGAGGCTTCAACGGCATCAAACCTGCAACAATCATCAACAACACAGACGTGCACATCATTACCGTGTTAGTTCCCCGCCATGGGAGTCTGCCTGACGTAGTAATCGAGCCGGCAATTTTCCCTTGCTGTGAAGAACAGGATGGGGAGTAGCTTGCAGAACCCTTGACCCTGGTTCATCATCAAAGCTGGCATGCCAGGCAGCAGCAAAACGGCCAAATCTCAAGATGTGCCAAGTCCATAGTACTCAGCTGCTTCTAGGAATGGTACAATGTTTTACTGTGCTGAAGCACAATCATACAAGTTGGTTCCCGAGAACCGCGTATCTCTACGATCTACCCTTTCTAGAACCTCGATTTCACACAGTATTAATTATAAAGTCCTTCTGTTGCGCCAGATCAGAAACCTTGATCGATAAACTACCCTCTTCCCCGTGGCACACTGCAGCTCTCGTTGTCGGATTACCCGTTTAGGAACATCCGAAGCTGCTCCCAAATATTACATCTGACGATCCTCCACATTATCACATTATGCTTCCCCGTATTATCCTCATGCAGGATGGTGAATACATATACACGGGACGTATGAGCCTGACTCGTAACTCGGACTGATTACCACTTTTGGTGGCATGATCTCGCATGCATCAACTCGATTATCCCTCAACCATAATTGTAGGCACACTGTTTCTCTCGACACATTGGCATGGTATATTCATCTCATCATTTCTTTGATTGTTTCTTTTCTACAGAATATGTAAATGTACAGATATCCATGCAATGCTTCTAAAGAGATAAGCGACAGGCTAATCAGGCAACTCTGTACATGGAGGTATTGTATTACAAGCAGTTCCCAAGAATAAAAACCCCAAACGCGCCGTTGACAATGCTTCCCGTCTTAAATTCATTTCCTAATCAATGCCTTCCACGTCGCTCTGCTTCAAAGAGTTCCCTCTTCATATCCATAAGCATGTCTTCCAGCTGGTAAACCTCATCACGGCTGAGTGCTGCCACCTGCAATTGCTGCAATCCACCACGAAGAGTGTCCATGATCGACCTTGTCTTGTGTGGTACTGGTGTTTCTTCCTCTTCTTCATCGTCATCTTCTTTTGGCTCGGCAACTTCGTTTTGGCCCTCCTCTTCTGCTTGTAGCTGATCCTCCTGGACCTCTTCACCCGATTCGTTGTCAATTGGCATGACTTCCATAGAGTCCTCAATGACTTCATCAGGCACCTGAAACTCAGGATCCTGGCTCTGCGAGGCTGCAAAGGACTCTGTCACCAGCTGTGACATGAGTTCTTCGTCCGTGTCCCCGTCATCGCGTGCATCGGTCGACCTTGACGTTGTCTGAGGCGCTTGAGAAGATGAGCGTGTAGACCTTTTGATAGGCGATACCTGGACTTCTCGGTTTCGTAGCTCCTTGCCCTTTTGTCCAGCATTTCGTCTGGATGACCGTCGCACGGTTGCGATGGGTGAGGCCGTTTCTTGAGACGTCGACTGGCTATCTTCGACCTGTTCTGGTCCTGATGGGTCGGCCGACCGTCTCTTTTTGCGGCGTGTCTCGGCATACACAGCGCTTCGCTTTCTCTTCCTCTTGCTGCCGGTTTGGTTCGTATTCTGGCTTTCATTCTTCTCTTGGCTTGATTCAACAGGTGTAGAGGGAACAACACTGGGTGGCGAAGACTCCTTAGTGTCATTCTGTTCTGCTTCCACCGAGGTGTCTCCTTGGACCTCTATGCACTTTTCCGGCGATGCGTCGTTCTTTTTCTTCTCGGGAGAAACAGAAACTGAGTTGTACTTGTCGAATGGAAGATGGCATCTTCTAGATTCAAGTTCCACCACAAATCTCATGAGACTGCTTTCATCCCCTTCACTGAGCGCGAAAGATGAGTCTTGATTCTGGCTGTTAGCCACCTTAGAGCCACTTTCAACAGCCTGATCGTCAACAGCCTTTGCAGGGCTGCTCCTGGCATCCACAAATTCGTCATCTGCGGATTTTGGTGTTTCCAGAACCTGTGCTGGAAGCGGAGCGGTTCGTTGAGGGCTGTCCAGTTGGGTGAGGGCAGGCGGTTCAATATGTTCCTCTTTAATCTCGTCCACATCTTGGCTAGGTGGCGCATCTGGTAGTGCCTCGGCATCTTCGGCCACCACTTCCTGACTACCGAGACTTGAAGGAATGACTTCCTCCTTCTTTGATGATTCTGCCCTCCTCCTGCGTCGCTTAGACCGTGTGTTCTTACCAGAGGTCTTGTTCTTAGCAGAAGGAGTCTCCACCTCAGCTTGGTCTTCATTAGTTTGTTGACTGATGGAGGGTGAACCAGGTGGTGAAGAAAACTGCCAGTTTACGATCGAGTCTCTAGCCTTAGACCGGGTTTGTATCTCAGATAGCAGAGGGTTGCGTCTCGGGTCTGGTGGTGATGAAGGTGGGTCGTTCAAGCCTTCAAGATGAAGTGCTTGGCCACGTCGGGGAGTGGGTGTCAGATTGATGAACTCATCGTAGGAAGCTGCGCGTTCAGGAGTAGTTTCGAGTCTGCCAGGCTTTTGCATCTCGGAATCCTTTGAGCTCTCCTCGATCGCAGCTTGTGCTCGAGTCCGTGGGCTCGAT